GTACCCCCTTTTGGGGGGTATAGTTATTCATGCCCTGCCACGAAAGGCAGCAACGGGGTCACGAAGGGCAGCGAGCGAAGGCGACCGCGGAACCAGTACGGGCAGCGAGGGGCATCGAAGGCGGGCGAAGGCTAGCGAGCGGCGACTGCAGTCCCTAACGGGCTGGTCGGGCGGGCAAGCCCAGACGGGCGGGTCGAGCGGGCGGGTCGTTGAAGCGTAAATTCTGCTTCAACCGCCAGGCAATGTAGCGGGAGCGCGATTCCTGAATGTCGAGGAGCGACATCTGAATAAATTGTGAAGAAATATCAAGCGGGAGCCGCGATTCGGTGGTAAGTTGCGAGGAAGTCCAAAGCGAGAGCGCGTTTCTTTAATACATTGTAAGGAGCTATAAAACGGGAGCCGCGATCCGGTGGTAAATTGCAAGGGCGTCCCAAACGAGACCGCGATTCTTTAATACATTGTGAGGAAATATCAGGCGGGAACCGTTGTTGTTGTTGTTGTTGTTGTTGTTGTTGTAATAAACCGGGGGCCAAAGACACACTTTGACCCTCAAGACTTTCCCTGATAAAAAAACAAGGTGCGAGCCCCAGGAAGGGCACTTCAATCGAAAAACAATATGCACCGGACGGGGGGGATCAACAATAATAATTCTTCAGAAACGAATTCAACAACACGGTGAGGCCAGGTTTTTGGCACCCTGGGGGGCAGGGTACCGGAACCCCGCCGTCACCTGCTGGCGAAGGCGGGTTTCTGGTACCCTGGTCACCACTTGCGAGGGGGGGGGTCGCAACCGCAACGGGGCAACCAGCACTACCACAAGCGATTCGAAACGAATATATAAGAATTTCCAACTGAAGTTTCCCATTAAATTCCCAGCAGAAACTGCATGTGCGCGCCAGCGAAGCGTGCTCCTACAGCAAACCTGTCCGAATCCAAGTAGAGATGCGCGCAGCTCTGATAAGATCCTAGTAGAGCTGCGTGCAGCTCTACTAGAAACCTACTAGAACTGCGCGCAGCTCTAATAGAATCCTACACAAGTGGCGTGCAGCTGTACTCGAATCCTACTGGAGCTGCGCGCATCTCTAATAGAATCCTACTAGAGCTGCGTGCAGTTCTGATAGAATCCCACTAGAGCTGCGTGCAGCTGAAATAGAATCCTACGAATGCTGCGTGCAGCTCTGATAGAATCCTACTACAGCTGCGTGCAGCTCCAATACAGTCCAACCAGAGCTGCGCGCAGCTCTACTAGAATCCTACCAGAGCTACGTCCAGCTGAAATAAGATCCTACTAGAGCGGCGCCCAGCTGAAATAAAATCCTACTAAAGCGGCGTCCAGCTGAATAGAATCCTGCTAGAGCTGCGCGCAGCTCTAATCTAATCCTACTAGAGCTGCGTGCATCTGTAATCGAATCCTACTACGCTGTCAGCTGAAATAGAATCCGACTAAAGCGGCGTGCAGTTGTAATAGAATCCCACTAGAGCTGCGCGCATCTCTGATATAATCCTACTAGAGCTGCGTGCAGCTCTGATAGAATCCCACTAGAGCTGCGCGCAGCTGAAATAACATCCTACTAAAGCGGCGTCCAGCTGAAATAGAATCCTGCTAGAGATGCGCGCAGCTCTAATCTAATCCTACTAGAGCTGCGCGCAGCTCTAACACAATCCTACTACGCGTTCAGCTGAAATAGAATCCGACTAAAGCGGCGTGCAGTTGTAATAGAATCCCACTAGAGCTGCGCGCATCTCTGATATAATCCTACCAGAGCTGCGTGCAGCTCTGATAGAATCCCACTAGAGCTGCGTGCAGCTGAAATAGAATCCTACGAAAGCTGCGTGCAGCTCTGATAGAATCCTACTACAGCTGCGTGCAGCTCCGCTTGAATACAGCTAGAGCTGCGCGCAGCTCTACTAGAATCCTACTCGAGCTGCGTCCAGCTGAAATAAGATCCTACTAGAGCGGCGTCCAGCAAAAATAAGATCCCACCAGAGCTGCGACTAGAGCTGCGTACGGCTCTACTTGAAACCAACTAGAGCTGCGCGCAGCTTTAATATAATCCTACAAAAGTGGCGTGCATCTGTAATCGAATCCTACTATGGCTGCGCGCAGCTCTGCTCTAATCCTACCTATACGACCACCCTTCGGGTGATAAGGAGGTTCGGGGGGGGAGGAACCAACGTCTCACTCGATCGGTATCACTATCGATCTCACTATCGATCTCAGTATCGATCTCGCTCGATCGATCTCCCTCGATCGATCTCACAATCGATCTCACTCGATCTATCTCACACTCGATCTCACTCGATCATCATCATCATCATCGTCCTCATCATCGTCATCATCATCAGCATCATCGTCATCACCATCATCATCATCATCATCATCAGCAGCATCAACATCAGCATCGGCATCATCAGCAGCATCATCAGCATCACCATCACCATCATCATCATCATCATCTCATCATCAACATCAACATCAACATCAACATCAACATCACATCAACAAACAAAAACATCATCATCATCATCTTCATCATCTTCATCATCTTCATCATCTTCATCATCATCATCATCATCATCATCATCATCATCATCACACCGCGGGACACCGGCGGGACCACCGCGGGGCACTGCGGGACACGCGGGACACCGCGGGACACCGGCGGGACACCGCGGGCCACCGGCCGCCCGGAAGGGAGACATTTGGTCCGGCCGCGCCTCAGCCACACGGGACACCAGCGGGACACCGGCGGGACACCGCGCGCCACCGGCCGCCCGGCGGAGAATCATTTGGTCCGGCCGCGCCTCAGCCACAGGAGACTTTCTTCTCGCCCGCCCACGCAGCTTCGCCTCGCCCGCACGCACGGCACGCACGAACACGAAACCGAAATCGATTTCCCGGTAGGGGGGCTCTCCGTTCCACTTCGATCTCACCCCCTCACCTCCGATTAGAGCTGCGCGCAGCTCTAATACAATCCGACTAGAGCTGCGTCCAACTGATTTTGAATCCTACTGGATCTGCGTCCAGCTGAGATAGAATCCTACTAGAGCTGCGCGCAGCTCTAATGTAATCCTACTAGAGCTGCGTCCAGGTGAACTAGAATCCTACTCGACCTGGTTCCCACGAAGCATGCATGTCCAGGGCGCTCCCAGGGAGTGCTTCGGGATCGCTCACATGGGAACGCTCCGAGGGCACCCCCAGCGCGCTCCAAAGTCACTGAGGCCCTAGGGCGTGCCAGGGAGCGCGCCCAGGGCGAGCGGGGAGCGCTCGCACGGAGCCCCCAGTGAATACCCAGGAAACTTGCCCAGGGAGTCCCACCAGCCCTCTGGGCGACAGGTGGTCTAACGAGGGTCTTTTCCCTCTCCCACAACCACTGTCCCCTTCGGGGAGGGGAACATTCCCCGTCCCCTCCCCGAAGTTTTTGGGATGTTCCGCGATGTGTCGGAGGCAACTGTTTCTGGTCATTGGGAGGGCCGTTTTTTGCCGTTGCAAACGAGGATAGTGGCCCCCGATGGGGGGAGCCTAAATCGAGTACCTCCCCTCTTTTGACCGACCGCCTCCAAGATGGCCCCAAGGGGCCCTCCAGGGCCCCCCAGAGGGCCCCCAAGAGGGTTCCACGAGCGCCCCAAGAGGCCCCAAGAGGGCTCCAAGAAGCCCCCGAGAGGCCCCCAGGAGGCCCCCAAATGGGCCCCAAGCGGCCTCAGAGAATCCAAAATGACCTCCAAGATGGCTCAATTTACCCCCTAGATACCTCCAAGAGGCTCCAAGACCGCTCCAAGACGGCCTCCAAGATGGCCCCCAAAGATGCTCCAAGAAGCCCCAAGACCGCTCCAAGACGGCCCCAAGTGGCCAAAGAGCTCCCCCAGGAGGCCCCGAAGAGGACAACCAAAAGGGTGCCGAAAACCAGAAGGGCGCCGAACACCAGATGGCGCCGAAAACCACATGAGCGCCGAAAATCAAAGTGGCGCCGAATACCACAAGGGGCGCCGAAAACAAAAGGGGTTCATAAAACCAAATAGGGCGCCAAAAACCACAAGTGGGCCGAAAACCAGAGGGGCGCCGAAGACCGAAGGGGCACCAAAAAACAAAGAAGCGCCGAAAACCAACGGAGCGCCGAAGTTCAGGCGGGCATCGAAAATCAAAGAGGCGCCTAAAACCAACGATGCGTCGACACGAAAAGGGAGCCGAAAAACCAAAGGGGCGCCGATAACCAAAAGGGCGCCGAAAGCCAAAGGGGCGACGAAAACCGAAGGGGCGCCCAGACCAAAGGGTGAAGGTACCCCCCCTTTGGGAAGACAATCCAGGCTGCGAAAGCGGGAGGGGGGGAGCTTCCGAAGCCCCCCACCCCTTTGAAAAGGGAGCTCGGGCTGACTTTCGGCTCCGGAAAAGGGGAGGAGGGCGGGTAGCTTCGAATCACCTCCCTTGACAAGGCAATCCCGGGGGGGGAACTTCCGAAGCCCCCTCCCTCCTTTGAAAGGGGGGGGCCCGGGCTGATCTTCATCTCCGGGGAAAAGGGGGGGACGGGGGGAACGTCCAAGCTCCCCCCACCTTTAGCCAGGGCCCCCCTTAGCTCGAAAACTCTTACAGAAGGGAGGCACGGGGGTAGCTTCGGAAGCGCCCCCCCCCCCCCCTCCACCTCCCCTTTCCAGGGGAGGGGTGGGGGGTGAGCAGCTTGAAGCTGATGCCCCCCGTTTAGCAAGGAGTGCTCCACGAACGCGCTCTTTCAAAACTATGCACCGTAACAATTCTGCGCCGAAGATCGACAACGCCTCCAGAGACGTCAACGCTACCAGCTGGAGGGCCACGACGCCTGCGAGGTCTCTCTCGCGCGGGGCCCGGCATCGTCCTCCCTCCTCCTCCTCCGCCTCCTCCTCCTCCTCCTCGTCCTCCTCGTCCTCCTTGTCCCCGTCCTCGTCCTCGTCCTGCTCATCCTCGTGCTCGTCTTCGTCGTCGTCCTCCTCCTCCTGCCTCCTCCTTCCGTTGTGGCCCTGCTGCTTCCTCTTCCCTGGCGCACGGCACCGCGAGCATGCGGCCCGAAGGGAGAGGTAGGCTGCCGCAAGCCGCCCCCTGCTGGTGGAGGGGGAACAAAAAAAGAAACGGCGGCCACGGCCAAGGCAGGACGGGGCAGAACTATTGTCGGGTGCCGCTAAAGGTGCCCCTGGCCCAGGGTGCCCCCAGGACTTCCACGGAGGCCCCCCGGCCTCCTCAGCACCCCTCACGAGGCCCAGTGGGCCCCCGAGGCTCCAAAAGTGAGCGAAAAGATGGGAGCACCCTGGGCCAGCGGCACCTTGAGCAACACCCGATATCAGACGGGCAGGAGGGGGAGGCAACCAGGGAAAACAAGGTGGGAGGGTAAGATCATACACTGTTTTGGTGAGTTGTTCCCAGCGGCTACGGCCAATATCGTATTTCCCTAGTGTATGCTCCCCGCGGCTGCAGTCAAGATCGTCTTGCGCTGGCGACTTGTCACCCCCCATTCCCTTTGACCTGCAGGCACTCACACGTGTCGACCTTGGTGATCGCCCATCTTGGTCGCTAGGGCTCCCAACTTCGCGCTTCGCGCTGCGCGAAGCGCGAATAACTTCGCGCTCTCGCGCCGCCCTCCCAAAGGGAGAATAGGAGGACGAGGAGGAGGGGGAGAAGGAACGAGGACCGCGAAGCGCGAAGCGCGAATAACTTCGCGCCCTCGAGGGAGCCCATCTTGGTCGCCATCAATTCGTGGATCCTCCCCGCCAATGCGTCGGCTGGCATGGACAACCAGAGGAACAAAGCACGGCGTGCACATCACTTCTCGGAGGCCCGCTCGGCTCTCCGGGATCGGCGCTGGACCGCGGAGCGCCACGGCCGGCACCCGGAGGCGCCGCTTGGGGGGCTCCACGCCGATCCAGCAACTCCGCGCAGACATCAGACACATTGTGCTCGTGCACTTTCCGTCCTTCGGGTGGCCACGATGGGCGTCGGCAGGGTCCCGCGCCGTCTTGGCCGTGGCCATCGTGCCTCACCGCTCGAAAACCAACCCGCCGCGGGCCCTCAGTCGGCGGCGTCCTGGCAGGGCTGGCCCGCCAGCACCTCGGCGCGCGGCTAAGGGGGGTCGATCGGCCGCCGGGGCGGCCAGGCCCGCGGGGCGTCCGCCCAGGGGGTGGGGAGCAGAATAGGGAGGAGGGAGGGAGGGAGGGAGGGAGGTAGATAGGAGGAGTAAGAGGGAGGGGGGGAGGAGGAGGAGGAGGAGGAGGAGGAGGAGGAGGAGGAGGAGGAGGAGGAGAGGAGGCGAGGAGGACGAGAAGGAGGAGGAGAAAGGAAACCAGTGTAAACCCAAGACTCATCAGCGATGGTGGCATGAGCCCTTGCTCCAAGCTCCCTCTTCAGAGGCCCCTACAAGGATTCATCTCCATTGAGGGAAGTGCCCCGTTGGGGGGCGACCGTTTGAAGATCCTGATGCGTGCCCAAACACCACTATCGGGACTTCAGCGCCACGAATCAGCATGACTGTTGTATATCGATAGTCCTGAAGCGCGGCAGAACAGCATTCCTGGGATTGCAGCACGCGAGCCAACGTAACGATTGCGGCTTAAGAATCCAGAATCGCTCCCAAACACAATTTCAGGTACGAGAACCATGATTTTGAGCGAAAATTGTGCGTTGATTTGAGCAAATGCTCGTGGCGCGAAAGCGGAAACCACATTTTGACAAGGAGCCGCCCTCCATCTGTGAATCTCCTGCACATGTTTACAACGAGCATGCGCGGCGCTACTGCGAAAACCACATGTTGAAAACGACATGCCTTCAGTCCGTGAAGCTCGTGCAACATTTGAAAAACGATTGTGCTCAGCGCTAAACATGTTGGAAGCGACCCGCCCTCCATCTGTCAAACGGTTTCCAAAATTATGAATTTCAGCGTCATCATGCGAGACGCTTGGGCGGCCCTTCCGATTGGCCTCGGGGTGCGACAGGGAGGATTTACTTATAAGGAAAAAGCGCAGGAGGAGGGATAATGGAGGGATGGATGGAGGAGGAAGGAAGACAATTAAATAATGAGAAGATTGGTGAAAACGGATGTGCATGCTTGCGAGCAAGTTGCCAAACGGAATGCGAAGGAAAATGCAACGCGAATGACACGGGCAAGGTGTTGGCTACCTTGAGCCTCCATGGCGGCGGGCAAGAGATAGGCAGAGGCGGGCAAGACAGGGGAAACTATACCGTTCGAGTCTGGTGCTCAAGCGGCTCTATTGTGCCTCGTCAGTGAGCACATGCAAGCCATGTATCAACCAACGAAGCATTATATGAAGTTGCCAGCAGCAGACAAATATACTTATACGACGACCCTTCGTGTGATAAGGAGGTTCGGGGGGGGGAGGAGAAAACGTCTCACTCGATCGGTCTCACTATCGATCTCACTATCGATCTCGCTCGATCGGTCTCGCTCGATCGATCTCACAATCGATCTCACTCGATCTATTTCATTCGATCGATCTCACAATCGATCTGACTATCGATCTCACAATCAATATCACTATCGATCTCACTATCGATATCACAATCGATCTCACATTCGGTCTCACGATCGATCTAACTATCGATCTCACAATCAACGTCATCATCATCATCATCAACATCATCGTCATCAACGCCATCAACATCATCATCATCAGCATCATCATCATCATCATCATCATCGGGACACCATTATCATCATCACCATAACCTCATCACCTCATCATCCACATCATCATCATCATCATCATCATCATCATCATCATCATCATCATCTTCATCACCATCATCATCATCGATCGGGACACCACCATCGTCATCATCATCAACATCACCATCATCATCGGGACACCATCACCATCATCGGAACACCACCAGCATCATCCTCCTCATCATCATGATATCATCATCATGAACAACATCATCAACATCATCATCCTCGGGACACCATCATTATCATCAGCAACATCATCATCATCAACCCCATCATCATCGGGACACCGTCATCATCGTCACCATCATCATCATCACTATCACCATCATCATCATCATCATCATCATCATCATCATCATCGGGACACGATCATCATCATCAACACCAGCATCATCATCACCATCCTCGGGCCACCATCATCATAAGCATCCTCATTACCTCATCATCATCCTCATCATCCACACCATCATCGGGACACCATCATCACCACCATCATCATCGACAGCATCATCATCATCATCATCGGGACACCATCATCATCTTCATCATCATCTCATCATCATCAACATCATCGGGATCATCAACATCATCATCATCATCATCATCATCATCATCATCGGGACACCATCATCATTATAATCAGCGAAATCATCATCAGCATCATCATCATCGGGACACCATCATCATCACCACCATCACCATCATCATCAACCACATCGTCAACATCATCAGCATCATCATCATCACCATCTTCATCATCAGGACACCATCATCATCAACACAATCACCATCACCATCACCATCACCATCACCATCATCATCATCATCATCATCATCATCATCATCATCATCATCATCATCATCATCATCATCATCATCATCGGGACACCGACGGGACACCGGCGGGACTCGGGCGGGACACCGCGCGCCACCGGTCCCCTGACAAGAAACATTTCGTCCGGCCGCGCCTCAGCCGGAAGCGGGACACCAGCGGGACACCGCGGGCCACGGCCCCCGGAGAGGAATCATTCGGTCCGGCCGCGCCTCAGCCGGAGGCGACTTTTTTCTCGCCCGCCCACGCAGCTTCGCCTCGCCCGCACGCACGGCACGCACGAACACGAAACCGAAACCGATTTCCCGGCAGGGGGGCTCTCCGTTCCACTTCGATCTCACCCCCTCACCTCCGATACACAAGCTTCATTCAAGTGAGTGCTCAACTGTCCGCCTGCTGCTACACGAACATACTTCGCGGAAGCAACCCACTCACTCGCACGCTTCGCTATGTCGCATTTGCGAGCATACTTCGCGAGATGCGAGTCTCTGCGCCGCCCCTTGTCGACTCGGCTGCGCCTCAATATATACAAGGCGCGTGATATGTTCATTGCGAGCCCAGGTCGTCGCTGCCCGCGACGCTGGACGAACCCGTGCCTTCGCGCGCCAAAGCCTGCACGCAGGCGCAACCTGGGGCACTGCAGGGCTCGCGCGCAAAAGTCCGCGGACACAACCTGGGCCCTACAGGGCTCGCGCGCCAAAGTCTGCGGGCGCAACCTAGGGCCCTTCAGGGCTCGCGCGCTTAAGTCCCGGTCGCCCTTCTCTTTGGTGAGACTGCTACGCTAGGAGCTGGGCATCGGCTTCTCGCGCCGCTCCACGATCAGCTCGACGCCGTCGCGGTCGCAGCTGCGCTGGCCACTCCTGATGTCCAGGATCACCTCTCGGTCGATGCCCCCCTAGGTCATGGCGTCGGCCTTCGCGTCGCGGCGTCGCACCACGACGTGTCCTCGATCGGCCCAGTGCGGAATTTATCTGATGACCGCCGCAAGTGCCCTGCCACGCTGTTCTCCGACAGGGTCCGAACGCGACCCATGGCCAGGGCCGCGAAAACAGGCGCGCCATCCACGACCAGCGTCGCAGGCACTGCGCAACCTCCTTCCCCCCTCAATCTCCAAATCTCCTCAGAAGGGAACATCTAATGGAGCGCAAGGCGGTGCGTCTGCGAACCGTCTGCTGTTCCGCAGGGGCCGAGTGATGACCGGCGCGTGGGCTTGCGGGATCGGTTCACAGCATTGAGCGAATGGCGCGCCTCCCTGCTGGCGCGGCGGCACTTGCCCAAACGCGCGCTTACGGCTCCTCTCATGCCGTATCCTGTCTCCTCCCTCCTCCCTCCTGACCGACCCGTCGCTGCGCGCGTGGAGTTGGCCAGCGCGTTCCGTTGAGGGGGATGTGCTGCGCGCCTCGATATTAGGCATGAGCAAGGCAATGGATTTGAGGGACATCGCATGGCGGATGCGCAGCTTGTTCAATGCCCTATGCAGTGCAACAGCGCACGCGGCGACGCGATGCTGGGCGAGCAGATCTTTGGCGGCAGTTCCGAGGAGGGCAACGAAGAAGTCTGCAAAGTGACCTCTCGCGGACAAATCGACATGAGAAGTCTGGAAAGTGACCTTCGCGTTGGCCAGGTCGACGTGCCTGACCGGTATGGGGGGGGCGATGTAGTCGCCCCGGTCGAGCATCGCGGCGCCGTCGGCATTGCGGCGCTGGTGCGCCCCGCAGCTGGTGAATTCGTCGCAGGCGCACTTCATCTAACCGAAGACGCTCTCGATGTGGCCGATCAGCAGGTCAACGTGCTCCCTGCGTCCAGCGATCTCCAGATTGGACAGACGGCATGAGCACAAACTTCGAGACGCCAGCACCATGGGCACTGGACGCCTCGCGCTTGACCGCGAGCTCCGGGTCCCACTTAGTAGGCTTGGCACTGCACTCTGGCGAGTGCGTGACCTGGGCGAGATTCGTAGAGATGGCTCGGGGTGCGTCCTTGCAGCGCGTGCCCGGATCAATGCAGCGCAGCCACTCGGTTCGGTCGCCGAAGGGCGCGTAGTCGGGCACCTGGCTGAGATGGCTGCGCTGCCGGGCGGCAGGGTGATGTTCACCTCGCGCGGCGCTTCAACTTGTTCCTGCAACTCGGCATATAGGTCGAGTCATGCCCTGTAGTCCACGGCGACGCAGACAACGTCTCGGCGACGCGCCGCCCCCGAGGACAGCATGCGCCGTGACGCACGCTTCGCTGCCTCCGCGAACGTCTCCAGGGCTCTGGCGCCCCTGGCGCGGAAGCCCCTGAGCGCGGTGCGGCACAGGTGATCCTCGCGGTCTTGCCGTCGCACCCCTTCTGGCGCTTCCACTTGCGATCGCGTCTAAAGTCCACGACGTCTCGGGCGCTCTGGAGCGGTGGCCTCTCGAGACACTTGCGCTGGACACAGATGGTGAGCTCCGCGAGGATGGCTGATGCCACTTCCTTCGACAGCCTCGACACTTCCTCGCCGGCAAGAATGCCGGCGTCGCGCATGATGACCGCGGTCTTGTCGGCGGC